CTCTCTCTCTCTCTCTCATTCGCTCCCTCTCTATGTGTGCTTCAGGCAAAGTGGGGGAGGTGATTAAACAGAACAAACCCACTGGAAGAATGACATCCCCAGAGAGTAATTTTTGGAACCTAAATCCCACTTTTGTATGTTATGATCATAAAACTACATCAGAAACAGTTTGGTGCCACTGCTGCAGCAATATTACCAACAAGATCCAATAGATGAATGCACATAACCCACTTTTTTATATCTATACATTGGTAGCGGCATCGCCTTTAAGGCACGAATGGGATTATCTCCCATTTTTTGACATGCTTACCCCATATGAGTGTCGTCGTTCCCAGGATGAGGCTATAAAGAGGAGACCGGATGCAGTCACAGTGCCCTGGCTCTGAAACAACCTGCTGGAGTAGGTCAAGCAAGCTAGTTTTTTGGTAGCGTTTTTGCTTTTAGCTTCAATTTGTGTGTCATGTATTGTCATTATATTCAAGTCACAGAGCTAAGCTTCTGTTTTTCTGAAAGATAAATCTGTGGTGTTATTTGATAAGCCCAGAAGGTTTAAAGTTAAACAACGCTTTCTGCTGTTCTGGAGGTATTTCCTGAATTCTCAAAGACTTTTATAGCCATCTGGATGAAGGAATATTCCGTCCGCTACATATAAGATGTTTAAAGCCAGGGTAGGTAATGCATTTCAGAAGATTTATTGTTATATTAATTTAAATTCTCTTTACATCCCAACAGAAATCAATAATTCAAATGTTAAAGAAAAAACTTCTATCTATAGCAGTGACAGGTTTGAAAGCCCAGCCAATCATTTCATTTGGACCACCATCCTGTTTTCCAAAATTTCAACCGCTGACTGAAATACCGGTCATTTCAGGGTCCCTCCACGTCTGCACTGCCGCCACCCCACTCCCCCCGGAGCTCACTGTCGGGGCAGCACAGTTAACTAACTGATCTAACTAGCTAACAGCAGCTACATTTAGCAGCACTTTGCTTTACTCAACGAACTCCAAGAGTTGAGGCGGAGCAACCAGAGGAGAGATAAACCATAAAAAATGATCCAGTTTCATCAAAGTCAGTGACATAGTTGGTGGTTTATGCCATAAGTGTTACGCATTCCTACCGACCGACCCGGAGACTGAAGTTTTAAAGTGCAAGGACAGGTGTTAACCTAACCCTAACCAATTACAAGTCAGTGTAATATTAAAATGAGTTTAAAGCTGTTATTTTAAAGTAGAAAAGTTACATAATGTTGCTTTATTTTGTTTAGTAGCCTCCTCTGGTTTATGATAAAATACCTGCAAAACTAATGATATTCCCATCAGCCTTAGCTGTTGGTGCTAATTAGAACCTAAATTAAGCTGGTAAATGTTACACCTGATAAATAGTATGTTAGCATTGTCATTGTGTGCATGTTAGCATGCCAACGTTAGCATTTAGCTTATAGCATTGTGTCGAAATACAGCCTCACAGCTGCTAGCTTGGCTGTAGACGTTTAGTCTGGTTCAAAGATTGACAGGGAATATATTGGGATATGTATTTTATTTTTAAAATAAAATTATTTTTTTTATAATGTATTTTATTTTTGCTTTTGGCTTTTGTAATGCACGTCATAACTTATTTTATGAATTATTACTATTTATTGTCCCCTTTTCCAGGCTCACAATGCTGATATCACTCTCTCTCTCTCTTTCCTGTTTTTCCGCCTCCTAAATCTATGCTCTCAGTCTCTTCGCTTTTATTCCTGCCTGGCTGTTTAGAGAGACTCCCTTAGCCGTACGCCCTGCAGCACACTGAATTGTGAATCCAAACAGCTGGAGCAGCAGCAGATAGTCAGTGACTGGGAAAAGGGAGGGAGGTGGGGGAGAGATAAAGAGTGAGAGAGCAGAACAAGAGAGAGAGAGAGATGAAAAGCATGCCAAGCGAAAGAGAGTCGCTCATACTGAAGGAGGCAGAGGCAACAGCTACAGCAACAGCACGCTCCTTCCCCATCCTCCCTCTCCTTTTTTCATAATCCCACAGCTACGCCGGGAGAGATCGAGGGTGCCCTGACCCGCTGAGGAGCACTGTCTGAAGGAGAAGGAAAATCTCACATGAGTCCCCCCCTCCTATGAATGCCTGGATAATTTTTTGGGGACAATAACCAACAAGGAGTGAAAGGAGGTGTGTACACAAGAGCCTGTCGGTGGGAGGGAGGGAGGGAGGGAGAAGGAGAGAAAAGAGGGGGATGAGTGGCAGGTTTGGCACAGCTGCTGAAGCCAGGGTCTCAGATTGTGACAGAGACAGACTGAGGGGGACCTGAGGAGTGGAGAGCTGGCACGTGTGGAGCAGTGTCCGCAACTTGTGGGCCAAGAGGAGAGGAAAATAGATTCACATACGGACACAGCTGGACAGATGAGGAGGCATCAGGGACCACACTTCAGTCCTGGGTATGTCCACTTACACTACACACACTTACACACACAGGCATGTACAGTTGATCCTCAGAGGTTGCTGTGTTTTTACCAATAGAGCACAGAAACCCTTGAAATGCAACAGTGCGTGTTTGCAGATCTTAAGGGTTGACGACTACCCACCCTGACAAGTCTCCCTACTTGCCCTCAGATACTTGCAGCAAAGGAAAGAGGACGCGGAGGAGAGATAATGTGTGTCTTTGTCTGTGCCTGGTCATGCTTTCTTACCATCTACGCCTTGTTATAACATTATTGTGTACCACTAGAGGCATTTCATAATTGGTTTCGTAAGCTGTCAGAGTGATGCATGTAAATAAACCTCCACTGCTGGAATGTTGTCATGTTTCATGTTGTCGGACAAATTAAACAATCACATCAGTCTCATCTCAGCCCCTGTCTTGTGGCTGTAACATTGCGCATTACGTTAACTTTGTACATGACTTATTTGTTCTGTACGTATTGTGCAGCCATTAATTGTGCACATTAAAAAAAGGAGAACTTGTGTGGCTGCTGAAAAAAGCCGAAGACTTGTTTATGCGCTCTGGTTGGAGACATGTATAGCTCTGCTTACCCCTGCTGCACCCCCAAGTGTGGTAACATGACATGTGTGGCCATGTGTTATGTCACGTTGTGGCAGAGTGCATACGGCTTATGACAGCAGGTTTGCATGAGGTGTATCAGCCAGCCACTCATCTTTCTATCTAACTCTCTCTCTCTCTCTCTCTCTCTCTCTCTCTCTTACTCTTTTTCCTCCATCTTCCTTCTTTCTCCATTTCCAATTATAGGCTGTCACCTCTCCCTCTCCTCCTGATCCTATCTCCTGTTTCATTTTCTTGCTAAGCAATTACCTTTACCTGACTCTGCCCCTCTGGACAGCATGGCTGGCTAGTTTCCTGTCTGTCTTTTCAACAATCAAAGTGAGCGATGGGTGGAGGATTTCATGGCCATTTTACTCTGGTCGCCTGAACCTGAGCAAAGAGCGACCTCAGTGAAGCCTGAACATGGACGCCACTTCATATTATCGCTGCTCTCATGCAGTAGATCCAGAAAATATATGTAAATAGGAAAAGGCTGTGGGGGCTTTTCAGTGTGCTGAAGAATTATGCCTCTAATCATGCAATCAGCTCATTATTTCCTGCTCCTCATTAAGTTGTTTGGGTTTCTAACTTTATCGCTGTTCGTAGTCTCGACGTCTTGAAAACAAAATAACAACAAAAAACTCCACCCCACAGAGCTGGCGGACAGATCGCTCCCAGCATATGGGCAGACTTGTTGGTGTCTGAGAAAGGAAAGACTTGCCAGAGAACTGAAATCCCCAATCACAACCGTGCGTCGCCACTGAGTCCTTCCACTCCTTTGTGTATCCAAACCTCTGTCTTTCTGGCCTCCTCTGTAAATTTTTTCTCTATCTTCTGCTCTTAAACCTCACTGGTAACGATCCAGCTGTATAACCTCTTTACTACAACAGTATGACTCCTACAGAAACACACATATTTACATAAAAGCAGGCACTCACTCCCACCACCAGTATAACCCTTTTAGCACAGCAGTGTGACAGCTACCTGAAGCATAACACAACTGTCCTTTCTGCTGCCAAGCTTGTAAGGTAGTGTGAAGAGACACAGATGGAGTCAGACTGGAAATAAGACATTGTAGGATCACCGAGGAGACGGATAAGAGGAAGAGGACATAATTATCAGAGAGAGGAGGATGGGAATAGTGACATGAAATTAAATAAAAGAAGATTGAGGTGATAATGGAAGAAGACGACGAGGGATAGACGGGACAGAAAGAGTTCTGAAGGTGACAGAGAAATGTAGGAATGTGGGTGAAAATGTTTGGCCTTGGTGTTGACAACTGCTGATTGCTGATGGCTTTTTCCAGTGAATGGACACAGTGGCAAAGTGATAGTTTTCAACCACCCCTGGGGGAAAGAAGGTGAAGAAAGAGACAGAGAGAGAGAGAGAGAGAGAGAGAGAGAGACCCAAATCGCCAACAGAGGGTGTTTGATAAATTTATAAAATCCCATTTGCTGCATCTCTTCACAGGAACATTTTGGTTTTGTCATTTGTGTGATTTTGGTCATCATTTCTTTTGGTTATTATTACATTTTTCTCACCAAAATAATAGCTGAGATTTGCCACAGCAAAGTCCAAAGGAGCAAGATACACAAGTAGTCACATTATCAGACAGATCGAGCTCAAATTAGCCAGATTATCTAAATTGTTGATTGAAAGGTAAAAATCCAAACAATTAGTCAAGATACACTTATGAAGGTTTTAATCATTTATTGCAATGATATGCATTTGGCTTAAGTGTGTAGTGTGGCTTGTGATACTTGGCAAGATTGATACAGACTGTCCCAGACCTCTAAACTCCCCTGTAGAGCCTGAGATACACAACATTTGTTACATTTAAAGCTGCTGTAATCAATATTTTTACATTAACAGTGTATCAAATTATGTTTAAAACCTTATTTCACGATGCAGGAAGAAGCTTGATGCTTTCAGTGAAAAAGCTCTGATAAACTGACTGCCTGCTCAGCACCAAGCTTCAGAGAGATTAAGTTAGTGACTAGCTGAACATAGCAGAGCCAGATATTTTTTTCAGGAGTTGATGGAGAGTAAAAATATAGCTAAAAGTAGAGCGAAGACTGGACTTACATTCATCAGGTGGACACAAACACGACTCCAGATGAATGCTAATGATGCTCTGTGTCTGATGGATGTGGAAATAAGCAAGTGGATACACAATTAGTTCATTTAAGCATAAACAAACAGGGAGTAATAACACAAAGCTCTGCATTGTTTACTGTATGTAAATAGAATGAGCACCAAATTTTTATATGCGTGTTGGAGATTAAAGTTAAAACATGAAGTAAACTGTGAGGGATGTTTTCAATGGACAGCTCAGGCAAAAATGTTACAGTTTGCCTTCATTTTCTTTTCCACTTAAGTTTTTCTAAACTTAGAGTAGTTTGTTTAAACCTACAGTAAGTAAGCCTGCAGTCTCAGGAGCACCATTAATTCCACATTGTTCATTTTATTCAAAACCTGTATGATCATCTGAGCGCTCGTGATTCATGCCCTGTCTGACTTCTTTTTAAATTGGTGAGTGCCGTTTTATAACCGAAAGGAATAATGGTCAAAGCTATGAAAATAAGACACAAGTTGTGTGAAACCTCTTAAAACCTGCAGCAGAGTGAGGAGTTCACGAGACATGGGAGCTTGTGAAACACAGAAGGTTAAGGCTTCAGGGAGAAAAATGTGAGTGTGATGTTTCTGCTCGAGGAGAGAAGGAGCTATGATGGGCTGCGTAGTGAGAGGATTTGATTGGGAAGGTGACCGGGGGTATGTGGGCGTGTTGAAGGAGCTTTTGATCTCAGTGTGTGCCGAGTGTTTCTGTGTGTGTGTGTGTGAGGATAATGATTGACCTTGACAAATGCACCAAGGTTTTTAAAGATGTCCTGTGTGGAGGATTGCTGCTATTAGATGGTGATTGTGGTGCATGCATGGACAAGGGCACAGCGCCCCCAGCTATATCTACACATAACACACACATAATAATACACACACACATTACACACACGATAAAACAGCAGTCTTTATTAAACTGTGGAATTACAGTACAGAGCCTTGTTGTTGCATCAGAGGCCGCTCACAAAACTGAATTTAATGGCGTTGCTTCCAGTATCATTCAGCAAAACAGCGTGAGTGAGTGTGTAATATTGCCACTGAGTGTGTGCATGTACATGAATGTGTGTGTCAACAGAGGCTATCAGGCTTTTAAGATGCTGGCTGCTGGTGTTGTCGCACATGTACGTTGTAAAATAAAGGCCATGATCCCAGTCAATAATGAACAAGCGGGACTCTATCTCAGGGCAAATAACCAGCAGGTGGGAACTACGACTCCTCTGCAGTGTCAGTCCTCCTGACCTTCTTCCCCACCTCCTCGTGCTATGGCTGTTGTTCATTCTTTCACTCCCTCCCTCAAGATAAATTATTCTCTCTCACACTTTCCCTGTTTTCCACATCCTGCCCTTTCACTTTCCATATCGCTTACTTTAATTTACTTTCCCGGCTGCATTTTCTCAGACGTGACCCCCGTGCATTGAGAGTTTGTTGTTCATTCTTCCGCTCACAGTGTCTGTCTGTCAGTCTTCCTGTCTGTCTGTTTCACTCTCTGCTACTTGGGTCGGATAGGACTAACACTCATAATGAATTAGCATTTAGCTTTGCTTCATTATTCTGTCTGGCTCATCCCTGGTGTCAATGTCAATCTCTTTAAAATAAACTCTCAAATTGAATTCAGTGATGATTGAATCTTTCCTTTCAAATTACAAAAATCTCACCTGCTGAGAGATATAAAGTCCTTGAAGGGTTCTCCATCCCATTTTCCTGTTAGAGTTCATCAGCACAGTGAACAGAGTCTGCTCAGCCAGGATCAGATTCATTTTGAATGTCAGAAAACAGGTCTGATATTCTTCATTATCATATGATATCATATTTATTTATTTCTGTCAAATACAAACATCTTTTTTAAAGCAACTTGAATTGTTTACTGTTATGCCATTGCTTTTTCACATTCAGAAGAAAGCTTCTTACTTCTTGTGAGACCTAACTCTGAACCATCTTAATAAGGTTTCTTGTTCAACCACACAAAGCAGAAAAATAAACTCTGAGACAAACAGCCTTTTACCACAGCGTCACATAACAGCAGTTAATGTTACACTCTGCCAACAGCCATTATTATCAGACTGCTTTTACAAAGCAGAGTAAAAAGCCATGAAAACACACTGGCTTAGTGAAAAATACAGTTTGCATCTTACAATGGACACATTAAAGCAGACAATTTATTGACCTTCAAGTTAATATATATATATATATATATATATATATATATATTGTATATGTCTTTTTTTG